ATTCAATTATTTTCAAAATTTTCAATTAAAATTATTAAAAAAAACTTAAAAAAATTCTTCAAAGAAATTAATTATTTACAAAAGCTCTAATAAAATTCTTGAAAAAAATTTAATTAGGATTTTCAAAAATTTAAAAATAAAATTTTTCAAAGGAATTCAATTATTGAGTCTCCAATTATTCTTAAATTTTTTAATAAAATTCTTTGCAAAAATTCATTTAAATACATTATTAATTTTAAAATTAAAAATATTTTAAAAGAAAAATTATTTTAAAATTTAGGAAACAAAAAAGCAAACAAAAGTAAAAAAATTTTTTAATTTTTATGGAAAGAAAAGTTATTTAAAAAAAAAATTCACTTATAATATCGTAAAATTATGGTAAATAAAATATTGTCTAAATAATGTTAAAAGTAACTTTTTTTATGGTTTAGAATGTGAAATTAAATTTACAAATTAAATAATTAATTTTAATGTCATCACAATATTTTGTATTGAATTTGAAAAAAATGTGTTAAGCAGAAAATAAAATTTTTCTACTATATAAATTTTTATTCTTATATTTTTTATCGTATATTTTATTTTTTATTTATATTAAACACTTTGAAAAATTATTCTTTATAAAAGAATTTATAAAAATATTGTTTTGAAAAATTTTTTTAAATTTTTGATCATAAATTTTGAGAATTTTATCTGAAAAATCTAATTTTTGAAAAACAATGGATGATTAATTATCGTTTTGTTATTGTTAACAATAAGATTAAATTATAATATAATTATCTATTATATTATTATATTTATAACTAATTAAAAGTTTAAAATTATCCAAAAGGAAAAAAAATTGTAACTTTTAATTTTTCTAAGAAACTTTTTTTCTCTAATTCTCCTAATTATTCAATGACATTTTAATTGTTTCCAATGAAATTAGAATAGAATGGAACACATTTAATTGTTAAATTTGAGAAAAAAAAGATTCATTAAATTCAACATAATGGTTCAATTTTTTTTTTCTTTCTTTTTTATCGTGTATATATTTTTTTTTTTTTTGACGTGTATATAAGATGTGATATGCCGTGAGAAAAACGGTAAAACAAGGAAGCATGAAAAAAAACTGTTTTGTAATTCGAAACGATCTTTTATATTATACTCGTGTACACATGTATACTTTCGATTTCGAAGGTCTAATCGTAATTCGCGTATCAATAGCTTTAGTAGTAATTTTTCGAGTAGCTTTTTATATATAATTTATACAAGATCGTGAGCATTGGGGACTATTTAAAGAGAGAAACGACAGGGACTTGTTCAAGTGGCAATAAGCATTAATGAAGGAAGGTCGGAAAATTGATATGCGGGATAAATTACTAATCTATAGGATTAACGTTGTTCCTTGTTGAAGGTGGTAATTACTTAGAAAGCAGTTCAAAACCCGTGTGTTTACTGGTCAGTAAACTCTTGCGAACTTCTCTATAAACGAGATTTATCATATTTTTTTCATACATTAAAAACTCAAGCCGTCAGTGGTATTTTTATTTTCAAACATGAATGTATATAATTATTTTACCGGCTCACTTCTGCAATGGGGAAAATTAAATATATGTTAATTATTACTAATTTTTCTCTGTTAATCTAATCTTATTGTTTGCGTAATTATTTTTATTTCTTTTTAATTTTCAGTTTCCAAATTGTTGAAATTTTATTTACTTCTATTTACTTCTATTTACTTAAGAAAAATTTTACTCAAGGAAAATTTTATTTTTCTCTACTACTATAATTATTAGTTTACTCAGGGTTGCCACGCAACCTGGAAAATCTGTAAATGTCAGGGAATTTTATAAACCTTGAAAAAACCTGCAAAAGTCAGAGAAAATTTTAATCGAAATCCAGGAAAATTGTCGTTTTCTAAAGTTATTGTGTGTATTCTTTAAATCTGATTTTACATAAACGTTTCAAAATTAATTGAATTTTAAAAGAGTTGCTTTTACAATTTTCATAAAGATTAACTTCAAAAGGTTTTAATGGGAAATTTGGTAAAATCTCAATTTTGAATGAATTTAAATAGAAAATTTTAAAGAACGTAGATTTTTGAAAAGTTTTAATAATCCGAATTCTTCTGAACTTATAGTTAAATTTTTTAATATAGATTTTTAATTGATTTTTAACAATAATGGATTTATAGAAGAATTTTAGTTAAAAACACTAAAAGAAATTGAATTTTGAAGCAATTACAAATTATTGAAGAAATTCAATTATTTCCAAAAAATTTAATAAATTTCTTGGCAGAATTTTAATTATTTTCAAAAGTCTAAAAAAAATTCTTGGCAAAATTTCAATTGTTTTCAAAAACTTTCCTCAATTCAATGATTTTTAAATTTTAATATCTACTTCTTTAATAAAATTTCCTAAAAGAATACAATTATTTAAAACAATTTTTAATAAAATTCTACGCTAACAATTTAATTATTTTCATAAATAATAAAAATTGCACAGGAATTTAATTATTTACAAATTATTTTCATAACTTATTATTCGCAATTATCTTCATAAATAATAACATTTTTTTTACAGGAATTCAATTATTTTTATAAATAATAAAACTCATCGCACAATTTCAATTATTTTAAATTCAATTTTAATCGAATTCCTCGAAAAATGTAAATATTCTTAAAAATTTTATTCAAATTCATAAAAAAGAAGTTCAATTATTTTACAAATCTTTGCTAAAATTTATTTATTAGATTTTAAGTATTATTTTCAATACATTTTTAATTAAATTTCTTCATAGAATTAAATTATTTTAAAAAATTTTAATCAAATTCTTTGTAGAAATTTAATTAATTTCAAAAAATTGGCAAAATTCAATTAGTTTCAATGTCTACTATTTCCATAAAATTTCACAAAAGAATTCAATTATTTAAAAAGAAATTTCAATAAAATTCGTCTAAAGAATTCAATTATTTTCAAAAGTAATGTGATTCTTCACAAAAATTCAATTATGTTCAAAAGTTTAAAAAAATTCTCGTCCAAATTTCAATTATCTTTATAAATAATAAAATTCCTCTTCGAAATTCAATTATTTCCAAAAAATTTAATAAATTTCTTGGCAGAATTTCAATTATTTTCATAAATAATAAAACCCATCGCAGAATTTCAATTATTTTTAATTTAATTTTAATCGAATTCCTCGAAAAAATGTAATTATTCTTAAAAAATTTATTGAAATTCGTCGAAAGAATTCAATGATTTAAAAATTCTTTATGAGAATTCAGTTTTGAGAAACATTTAATTATTCAATAAATTATTTATTAAATAAAATTTTCCAAAAGAATTCCATTATTTAAAAAAAATTTTGATAAAATTCTACTAAAACACTAAATTATTTTTATAAATAATAATAATATCACAGGAATTCAATTATTTACAAAGAATTCAATTATTTACCAATTTGTTACAAATTTCTTCGTACCTAATAATTCCATTATTTTCATAAAATTTTAGGAATTTCAATTATTTTTAATTCAATTTAAATCACATTCCTCGAAAAAATGTAAATATTATTAAAAATGTTATTAAAGTTCGTCGCAAGAATTTAATGGTTTAAAAATTTATTGATAAAATTTTTTATGAGAATTCAATTTTGAGAAACAATAATTAAATTATTCAATAAATTTCTTGGCAAAATTTCAATTATTTTCAAAAATTTTTTCTCAATTCAATGATTTTCAATATTTACTATTTTAATAAACTTTTTCTAAAGAATTAAATTATTTAAAACAAATTTTGATAAAATTCTACAAAGACATTTAATTATTTTCGAAAAATAAATAAAAAATCACAGGAATTCAATTATTTTCAAATTTGTTATAATAAATTTCTTCATAATAATTCCAAGATTTTCATAAATAATAAAACAATTTCAATTATTTTTAATTCAATTTTAATATAATTCCTCGAAAAAATTTAATTATTTTTAAGAATAAAAATTTTAAATTTTTATTTTTATTTTAAATTCGTCGAAAAAATTTAATGATTTAAAAATTTATTGATAAAATTCTTAAGGAGAATTCAATTTTGAGAAACATTCAATTATTCAATAAATTATTTATTTTTCTTTTTAATTGATTGTAAAATAAAGAAAGAAATAAATAAATAATTGAATTCTCGTAGAATTTTCTAATAAATATTGATTAAAAAATAAATTTCAGTTAAAATTTTCGATAATAATTGAACATTAAAAGCATTACAGCGTAAATTTTTAGAAATAATTTAATTTTGAAAAGGTTTCAAATTAATATCTTTAAGAAACTGAATTTTTCATACTTTTAACTAACAATTCTGAAGAATTAATTTTTTTAAAAAAGTTTAACTGAATTTTTTGAAAAATTATTTCTTGTTTTTATTTTCTAATATATTATTAATTGAAGAATTTCCGAATAAATGAAATTTCGTGTAAAATTATATTGTAAACAAAAGGATTTGAAAATTCTCAAAGAACTTTTTCAGAAATTGATTTAAAGAAGAATTTTAGTTAAAAATTGTAGAAATTAATAATTGAATTGATGAAAATAATTTTGAAGACTCGGCGTGTTCGATATCTTCATATTGTATAATAATATTCTTAAAAGTTATTGAATTTTAAAAGGTTTGAATTTGAATCTTTTGAAGAATTTTAATTCCTATGGGAAAATAATAATGATTAAATATTTATTTAAAAATTAAGTTATTGACGTTTTCGAATAATTTAACGAATTTTTTATTAATTAATTTTTTTTTATTAATTTTTTATTTTTTTTTTATTTATTTTTTTTTAATTTATCAAAATCGTAATTTAGTTTGCAAAACAAAAATAATAAAATATTTATATTTTGTTGTTAAATATTCGAAAGATGGGAAAAAATAGGAAAAATCTATTTTTACAGTAATTAATTTACTTTATTGTTAAATAATAATTTAATTTTCTCTTTCTTCTCAACATTCATTGGTACTAATGAGAATTTTTTTTCCAGGTGACAAATGGCTGGTCTCGTGCCTAGGAGTTCTTCATCTTAGTAAAGGTCTTTTTTATCGCGTGGTACCGGCAGATCAAGGCTTTGGTAACAGTGGCGAACCATCGGGATCACCGACATCGGAATACGCTGGTGTTTTCCGCTTTAGACTTTGGTGGTGCGGCGCCTGGGTCGAGGTCCTCGTCGATGACCGACTTCCTGCCGTTCATGGACGTCTGGCCTTCGTTCAAAGTCGTCACAGCGATCAGTTCTGGCCGGCTCTTCTGGAGAAAGCTTACGCAAAGTGAGACGATTATTTTCATCCTTTACCTTTCCATATTTAATTCAAGGTGACGTTCGAAATTTCAAGCTCAAGGTTATTTCATTGATTTTATTCGCTTGAGTTTGATTTGAAAAAAATGGGGTTACCATTTTTCAATTTGGATGACGAATTCATTCAATTTTTGAGGAATTATTTTATTGGTGGAAAAATTTAATTAACTTGTTAGTTATAATTATAATTATTAAGTCAATTGTAATAATGAAGTTAATTGTAGTTAATAATTAATTATAGTTAATTTTTGTTGTTGTTATTGGTTCTTAATAATTGTTAATTATTTTTCGATCGCAATCGAAAATCGTTAACGAAATTCGAGAGATATTTTTGAAAGTTGAAGAGAAGAGGTTTCTTTAGAAAGCGTAGGTGTTGATTGAATACGTCCTCGAGAATCAGTGAATCGAACGAGTTTAATCAAAGCAAGTGGTATCGAGAGGCGTTCTCCAGATGGTCATTCTAGATCGTTTACATGATCGCAACCAGTGAACTTTGTAATCTTTACAGAGACCCACGTGATCTTTGATCCTGTATCACTGATTTGTATAGCGACTACCCAATGATTCTATGTCTATAAACATTCTTCCGATTCTGTATTTGCGAAATTTTTCGTACACAATTTTTTCTCTTAATTATTTTAATTAATAATTGTTAATATAATTTTTTATTATTATTTTTATTATTATTATTATTATTATTATTATTATTATTATTATTATGCAAATAATAAAAAAATTATGCAAAAAATAATTTTTGTTTTATAACAACTTCAATTTTTAAATAATCTCAGATTTACAAATTTAAAAAAAAATTAATTAGTTAAATAGAATCTCAGTTGAATACATTTTTTTTTACTTATTTCCTCATTTTTTTCGGAAATGTAAAATAAATTGTGATCGTATCTTGACAATAATAAGGAATTCTCTTTATGCGACCACTATGTTCATGAAAAGCGAAAGAAAAGATATTTATTACATTTTTTTTATATTGTTTTCTATACGGATTTTCTCTGAAAAATTTCTCAGGTTTGTTAATTGACTCTCTGTTTCATTGGTTGTGTAACAAAATGATTAAACAAATTTTGATTCAACTCAACGGATGTTAGATTTTCTTTAGTGATTAAAAGTATGATCTTTTGATTTTACTCAACTTCTTCTTTTACTCTCATTTTATTTACTTTCTTTTTATAGGCTTTTTACTATTTACCCTCTTTTATTCGTCTTTATATCTTTCTTTGAAGGAAAGTCGCGCAGAGAAGACTGCCATCTCACTGAGATGGTGTACGTCCTTGCCGAACAAGTAACGGTGGATTATGAGAAGTAAAGAGAGAAAAAAAAAATTCATGGAGAGGAGGAGAAAGAGGTCATCTAAAGAAAGAAGGCGAGAGAAAAAGGCAATCCTTCTTCTGTGCTTCTCGTATACTCTCTTCTTTTTTTTATTCTTCTTGTTTTAAATCCTTTTTTCATTCCGATATATAGTAAAATACTAATGTAATGCCTCCGATGCAATCGCGATTACTGCTTCGTAATTCACCTGCGCGACTGTGGTAATGTCCGCTTTTATTTTTCGACTTTTTCGCCACTGAGAAATGCAATTCATTTATTTTTGTCTTTGAAAAAAAAAGCTTTGAAAAATTCTCTTAGAATCCCGAAACAGAAGTTTTCTCTTTTTGAAAATCAATTTCGAATAGTGGGGCTCGAACTAGGTCCTTAAAGTCTGAAAAAATTGCGTAACTTTGCTTGGAGTTTGTGAAAGTCAGTTTTTTTGAAAAAAGGTCCGTAAAGTCCGTAATTTGATTGAAAAAGAATGAAAAGTTCGTAAATTGCACAATATAATTTGGATAATTTTAGAGACATTACAAATGATTGCAGAAATTTAATTATTTTCAAAAGAAATAAAATTCTTTGCAAAAATTCAATTATGTTCAAAAACTTTTAAAAATTCTCTTAAAAATTTCAATGATCTTTAGAAATAATTCAATTCTTTTCTAAAATTCAATTATTTTCAAAAATTTTAATAAATTTCTTGGCAAAATTTCAATTATTTTCAAAAACTTTCCTCAATTAAATGATTTTCAATATCTACTATTAAAAAAAAAAATTTCCCAAAGAATTCAATTATTTAAAACAAATTTTTATAAAATTCTACGAAAACATTTAATTATTTTCATAAATAATAAAAATATCACAGGAATTCAATTATTTTTAAATTATTTTCATAAACTATTATTCAATTATTTTCATAAATAATTAAATTTTTACGGGGATTCAATTATTTTCATAAACAATCAAATTCTTTGTAATAGTTCAATTTGTTTCAAAATAATTTTTAAAAAATTCTTCGTAGAAATTTAATTAATTTCAAAAAGTTGTCAAAATTCGATTATTTTCAAATTTTCAATGTCTACTATTTTAATAAAATTTCACAAAAGAATTCAATTATTAAAAAAGAAATTTTAATAAAATTCCTCTCAAGAATTCAATTATTTTCAAAAGTAATGTAATTTATCGCAAAAATTCAATTATGATCAAAAGTTTAAAAAAATTTTCGTCAAAATTAAATTTTGATAAAAAAATTCTACGAAAACATTTAATTATTTTTATAAATAATAAAAATTTCACAGGAATTCTATATATTATTTACCAATTTTTTTATAAATTTTTTTCGCAATCATTCAATTATTTTCATAAATAATAAAATTTTTACAAGGATTCAATTATTTTCTTAAATAATAAAATTCTTCTTAGGGATTAAATTGTTTTCATAAATAATAAATCTCATTGCAGAATTTCAATTAGTTTTAATACAATTTTAATCAAATTCCACGAAAAATGTAATTATTTAAAAAAATTTTTTGAAAATTCGTCAAAATAATCAATTTAAAAAAATTTATTGATGAAATTCTTTATGAGAACTCAATTTTAAGAAACATGCAAATATCAAAAAAATTGTTTTTCTCTGTATTTAAATAATTGAATTCTGGTAGAACTTTCTAAAAAAAATTTATTTAAAAATGGATTTCAGTTATAATTTTAGATTATAATTGAATATTAAAAGCATTAGAACGTTAATTTTTAGAAATAATTGAATTTTCAAAAGGTTTCAAATTAAAATCTTTGTAAATTTGAACTTTTTATACTTTTAATTAAGAATTCTGTAGAATTAATTTTTTTTGAGAAAGTTTAAAATTAAAATTTGAGATTATAATTGAATTTTTAAAGCATTAGAGCGTTAATTTTGAGAAATAATTGGATTTGAAAAGGTTTCCGATAAAAAAAAGAAAAATTTAATTTGGTAAAGTTTTAAATTATTGCAGAAATTCAATTATTTTCAAGAGTAATATTATTCTTTGCAATAATTAAATATTGTTCAAAAATAATAAAATTCTTCTTAGGGATTAAATTATTTTCACAAATAAAAATAATAAAACTTGGCGCAGTATTTCAATTATTATTAATATAATTTTAATCAGATTTCTCGAAAAATGTAATTATTCTTGAAATTTTTATTAAAATTCGTCGATAGAATTCAATTATTTAAAAATTTGTTGATCAAATTCTTTATAGGAACTGAATTTTAAGAAACATTCAATTATTCAATAAATTATTTACTTTTGTATTAAAGTAATTGAATTCCAGTAGAATTTTCTAATAAAAATTTATTTAAAAATTAATTTCAGTTAAAATTTTATAGATAATAATTAAATTGATAATGATTTTATCACTTGGTAATTTTTAATTATTATAAAACATGAAGAAATCGATCACTCGGAGTTATCGATATCTTCATGTTTTATAGTTATGAAAAATTTAATTTATAATTTAAAGTAAAATGTTCTCTTATTTGACTCGGACTGGTTATATTTTTGTCAGTAATTGGCCCGTAATTTTTCATTTTTGGTCCGTAAAGTCCGTAATTTTAAATACTTTTATTAGTTCGAGCCCTGGAATAGTTAAAAAAAAGTGGATAAAAAGAGTTTGAAAAAAAAGTTTCAAATAGTTCTCAAATTAAACATTTACGAAATTTCTTGTTAAAATTTCTTGAAACTTAACTAAGTTTAAAAAAATGCAATGGGGATAAATAAAAGTTTCGTATGTGCGTTGTATAATAATGAATATATAAGCAATTGTACTTTCTATATTGTATACATTTTTGCTTTCGCAAGGAAACCTATAAAGACATTCGTACAAAGGAAAAATTTGCAGTTATCTTTTTCACTCTAGGCATCACTTGCAAAGAATTGGGTATTGTTACAATTTTTTCTGCGAACAGCAATAGTCCCCCCTAAAACAAGAGATAAGAATTCTCGTAAAAGTTTACGGAATACATTTTCCCAAATGTGCGCAATACTCACTTTATATATACGCATTTCCAGTTTTCGAGGAGTAGTCACATTTAATCTCACGAGAGTGGTTACTGCCGTGAGTATTTTCTCAAGGAAGACAAGTTGATCCTCAAATGAAAGAGACTTGAACGCTTAACATCATGTTCCAATCATTTTTTTTTTCTTTTAGTTTCAAATTTTGAACGATTTTAGAATTAGGAAAATTTTCTCTCCTGAATTAATTGAATTTAATTAATATTACTAAATATATTTTCGTATATTTAATATTATTTATTTATTATTTTAATTAATTGATTTATTTTTAATATTATTATTTACTATATTAATAGATAATAATTGAATATTAATTTATTGTGTCAAAAAGACTAATTTAAATTAAAATTTTGTGTAACAAATTTTCTAGTTATCGACGTGGAGGAAATAATGTGAAATACGACTCAATTGTTATTTAAGTGGAAGAGGACATTTATTGGCGAAAAAAGAAAAGCGACAAATGCAATAAGGAGCTTCCATATAAAGCTGAACAGAATGCACATAGATACTCTACTTTCATGAAAACAGAGACATACCAGGAAGTGGAACATCAAGAATGTAAGATATACAAACGGACACAAAGGCACATTTT